TCAGCTGAGGGGCTACCACATTTTTTAATCATTAAATATGTTTCAGGTGGGTTGAGTAGTTTGTATGTGTTAAATCTAAATGGTTTTAAGTATTTAAATTTGTTTCTCTGGTGGTTTTTAATCTAGTTTTTTTTTTTTAATCCATTCTTGAAAGTGGAATGTTGAAATAGCTGAATGATACATTTTTCTCTTCCAGTGTCTTTGCTATTTTAGGATTGTGTATTTTTACAATTATTGCATCTATTTGACTGTATTTTTCATCTGTACTTTTTTTGGGGTCTTTTAGTCATTTTGTCTGTTATTAGTGTAACCATTCCATCTCTTCCTAGTACTGTTTACATGAAGTACTACTTATATGCTCTTACCCTCATTCTGTGTTTCTTGAATCTTGGTGTTACATAACATTCATGTTTTTAATGCATTCTGTCAGTTCCTACCCAATAATTGGAGAAATTATTACACTTTGCTGCTTTTGTTTATGTTTATGTCATTTTGCTTCTCAGTTCTTCAGGTAATACTATTTTTTTTGGTATTAGATTATATATATGTGTGTGTGTGTGTTGTGTTTGTTTAACTTTTTACTGTTTATTTTCATTGGAATTATAGTTTATAGCAATGCACTCTGGGCAAGGTATCAATTTCATTATAGCATTTTGTTCTTATGTATCATATATAGCATTTTGTTTTTAGGTATCTTTACTCTGCTTACTCTAACTAAATCTGCTGTCACTTTGGTGTTGTACCTCTTGGCTTCTGCAACAAATGTGAGAAATAGGGCTGCTTTGTTTAATGCACCCTAATGATGTTTTGTCACAGCAGCCAAACTCACTTAAGACAGGCACCCATGGCTACCACCCATGGCTACTGGTGACAAATCTACTGTTAACTGTAGGGGAACCTGTAGCCACGCCTGCTTAGGGGAGGCTGCGAGGGAGCCTGCCTGACCACGCCTGCGAGGGAGAGTAAGAGTTTCAGTTGGCTGAGTTTTGCTTTCAGTTTTTACCCCTTTTCGGCTTGTGTACAGACTGCTGCCATGTCGGCTGGCTAGTTTGCTCTGTCAGTAAGGCTTTTCCCTATTAAATACCCTTATATTTCTACTTGGCTCCATATTGGTAATTTCCCACTATATCTGCTTAGGGGGTGGTTACAGGTCTGCCTAACCATGCCTTAGCCAGCCCCTAAGCAAGCATGGCTACAGGTTCCCCTACAGTTAACCCTCATGAATGTTTTGTACTGATGTGTGGTTCCTTCCCGTTGTCTTAGAGATCATCTTATTTTGATGGTGTGTGCCTTTTACTGTGGAGTTCTTTGAATTTCTCTGTCTTTAGATTTATTCTTCAAAGTAAGGAAGAATTGCAAGTTGGACTTTGAAATAAATGTTTAGTACCTTTTTCTCTCTGGTCTCCTGAAGTGCCCATATATATGTTTAGTGCTACCCCCATAGTTCTCAGAAGCTGTGTTTACTTTTCTTCATTACTTTTCCTTCCCTCTGATAAGACAGGATAATCTAAGTGGATATATCTTCATGTTAGCTGATTTTTTTTTCAGCTTGTTCCAGTCTGATAATAAGCTCTTGCTATTGAATTTTTCAGTTCAAATAATATATGTATAAATTGTAGCCTGCAAATTCTCCAGTGCTGGGATTATAGGCATGTAACTATAATTCTATCTCGCTCTTTTACAGTATGTTCACCTCAAACATTTGTTTGTAGCTCACTTTTAATCATTAATATTTTTATTGTTAAACATTATTCTCATATTTTAGTTTCTTTTTTAAACATATATTTTATTTTTAGATTTTATGTATGAGTCTTTTGCCTGTGTGTATTTCTGTACCACATGTGTGCATTACCTGGAGGAGGCCAAACAGGGTGATAGATCTGGAACTGGAGTTATAGACAGTTGTAAGCCTTTATGTGGGTGCTGGGAACTGAACTTGGGTTCTCTGAAAGAGCATCTTTACTGCTAAGGCATCTCTGAGACCCCTTTAGTTTCTATTTTAAAAAATAGATTCATCTAATGTGTATGTGTACACACATGAGCATGCCACAGCCTGCCTGTGAAGGTCAGAGGACACCTTGTGGGAGTTGAGTTTCTTTTTCTACCTTGTGGTCTCTGAGATTGAATTCAGGACATCAGGCTTTGTAGCAAGTGCCTTTACTTGCAGAGCCATCTTGCTGGCTATAATTCTAGCTTTAGTTCTTTGGACATAGTTTCTGTGTTCAAATATGAATAGTACATCCAAGAAACTTTCATCCATGTCATGTGATGTTACTGTGGACTTGGTAGATAGGACCTTAATGATGTTTTAGTACATTTCTGCTGTACCTTGTTTGTTCAGAGTTCTTGTCAGAATAATAAATTTTTCCGGAGCTATTGAAATAATTATGATTTCTGCATGTTGATGTGGTGTATCACATAATTATGTACATTGAGTGATTCTTCATCTGAGAGGAATCCTGCCGTGGCGAATATTCTGCTTAGTTGCTTATTCATTATTGTAAATAATCTTTAATGTGTTATTGGACTGATTCTAGTATTTTCTTGGAGTTTTTCACCTATATTCACTGGAGATACTGTTGTACTCTATAACTTTTTTGTTGTCTCTTTGGTTTGATAATATCCATCCATTTGTGTCTTTAATAAAGAGACTTTAAAAAATAAGTAATAACTACATTAATACATTAAGAAGTAATGGCTTTTACTTTGTCAGGTCTGGTGCTGGTTTGTAAATCTAAAAGTTCATACTGATTACCTCTCCCTACTTTAACCAAACAGGAGGGGTATTCTCCATAACATGCTGTCTGGAACTGGGGGTGGCATATGCTGGCAAATTTCTCCCTCTTCCTTATGTAGTACTTATTAGAATGCTGAAACCAGGTACTGTAACCTCATTGATTTATTTCCTTAGCTCTTGTAAGAGATTTTTGGGTTTCAGCTATTGAAATTGATATTTCAGTGAAGGAAACAACCTACTAAGAGTCTTACTCTACTGCTGCTCTCTTACCCTGCAACCTGGAGGCAGTACTAAAATTAGCCTTGGGCTGTGTTCTCAAGCATGGTTGAATTACCCAGAACCAATGCCAGGCTCTAAGGACTTGTCTTAAGGTCTGTTAGGTAGGGTGAGAGCGGCATCTGTATCGTTTCAATTTTAGCGTATATGCAGCCCAAGTGAGCACTGGAGCAGCATCTAAGTTAATTCTTCCTATAATTGAGCAGAGCTAGATGGGGTGGCTTACAACTGCAACTCCAGCACCCCTATGGTAAGTTGGTCTGTGGAGGCAAGAGAATTTCCATAAACCTGACAGCTGGCCAGTCCAGAATATGACAACAGAAGAAACAAGAGATTCCTAGTACCCCAAAGAAAGAAGAACCAACTCCCGAAAGTTGTCCTCTGACCTCCATACTCATTCTGTGGCACTCACACACGCACGCGAACACACACAACAAAAGTTTAAATGCAAACTTGTAGATAGTGTATATTTTAGAAATTGAAATGAGTGGATATGGAAATAGAAGACATTAGCATACCCCCTGATATCAGTTCTTGCTAGTATAAGCATCAAGGAACAGTCTTATAAATGGTAGGCTAATCATGGAGAAAATGGTTAGGAACTACCACGTTTGTATGAGTAATAAATGCATACAAGACTTTCTGGAGGCTGGAAAGATGGCTCAGAGGTTAAGAGCACATGTTAGTCTTGCAGAGGACCCAGCTTCAATTCTCAGCACCTACATGGTGACTAACAGTTACCTGTAACTCTAGTTCCAGGGGATGACACCTGATTCTGTCCTTAGGGTACTGCACACACAGTACACAGATGTTTATGCAGACAAAACACGCATCCATATAAAATAAATCCCCTTTTAAAAAATGCTGTTTTGTGTTTGTGGTACAATAGGTGGCATATGATAGCCCAACACCCTGCCACTGAACTGCACCCCTAGCCTTTCATTAGAGATTATTTTATTCAGTAGCTCTGATATGTAGGAGAAGATCCAAGCAACAAGGTATAAATCCTGTGTAACCCTTCTAATAAACTAATTTGTACAGCTGGTTAACAATGGAGATTAGATGATAATAGTCTATAGAGAGGTGTGTATATGTGTGTATTTCAAAATGTGCCATTTTATTTCCACCAAACATGTCAGAACACAGAGTTTCTGTGGAAAGTAGACTTGAATAAATGTTTATCTTTTTGTTTATTGGGATTCTATAACTATAGCTCACACAAAGGGGAGGAATATAATAAGAAACTGTTGTATGCACAGAATTTAAAGGCAGGTCCTTCTAGTCCCCAAGAAAAACTAGCTCAATTGCTCCGAGTCTTCACAAATAGTTACTGCAGCCATTTTTTCCCCAACCCTACGCCAAGTCTGGTGGCTCTCCATAACACCTGAGTTTATGAAGCTCAGATATTTTATATTTAGTTCTTGGTAGAGAAACTCAGATTGTCTATCAAACAGTGGCTATGAAGGTGATATAGTTGGCAGTTGTGGCTTTGTATTATAGCAATACAGATATTAAAAAAGGAAATGAGAGGGTACAATGAGCCATTCAGTTACAAACATATCTACAGGTATATTCAGATGTTATTTCTCTATTTTATTGGCACGTGTCTTAGATTTCACCACTTTTTTTTTTTTTTTTTTTTTTTTTTGGTTTCTTCAGAGACATTTT